ACTCATTCCCTTCAGGATGTTTCACTGTGCACTCACTCTAGACACAGTTTCATTGTGCACTCACTCCAGACGAGCTGTTTCATTGTGCATTCAATCCATACACGCTGTTTCATTGTGCACTATATACACAAACGCTGTTTCATTGTGCATTCAATCCATACACGCTGTTTCATTGTGCACTATATACACAGACGCTGTTTCATTGTGCACTCAATCCAGAATAGCCGTTTCATTGTGCACTCAATCGATACACGCTGTTTCATTGTGCATTCAATATACAAACGCTGTTTCATTGTGCACTCAACATTCAAGTGCTATTTCACTGTCCACTCAATTCAGACAGGATGTTTCATTGTTAACTCACACTAGACACGTTGTTTCATTGTGCACATGATCCATTTACGATGTTTCATTGCGCACTCACACCAGACAAGTATGTTTATTGTGCATTAAATCCATGCACACTGTTTCATTGTGCACCCATACAGTTTGTTTCATTGTGCTCTCAATCCAGACACTCTGTTCATTGTGCACTCGATCCATACACGCTGTTTCATTATACACTCATACAAGACACGTTGTTTCATTGTGCACTTAATTCATACACGCTGTTTCATTGTGCATCCAGACAGTTTGTTTCATTGTGCACTCATTCCATACATGTTGTTTCCCTTTGCACTCACTCTAGAAACACTGTTTCATTGTGCACTCACTCACGACACGCTTTTCCATTGTTCTTTCAATCCAGATATTCTGTTTCATTGTGCACTGACTCGAGAGAGACTGTTTGATTGTGCACTCAATCCAGATACGCTGTTTCATTGTGCACTCTATCCAGACAGATTGTTTCATTGTTTCCTTCAATCCAGACAAGCTGTTTTACTTTGCACTTACTCCAGAAGAGCCGTTTCATTGTGCAATCACTCTAGATACACTGTTTCATTGTGCATTCACTCCAAACACGATGTTTCATTGTGCACTAGCTCAGACACGAAGTTTCATTGTGCACTAGCTCAGACACGAAGTTTCATTGTGCACTAGCTCCAGACACGATGTTTCATTGTGCACTAGCTCCAGACACGATGTTTCATTGTGCACTCAATCCAGACACGATGTTTCATTGTGCACTCAATCCATACACGCTATTTCATTGTGCATCCCAGACAGTCTTTTCATTGTGCACTCACTCCATACAGACTGTTTCATTGTGCACTGACACCAGACAAACTGTTTAATTGTGCACTGGTTCCAGACAGACTGTTCCATTGCGCACTCAATCCAGACATACTTTTTCATTTTGCAATCATTTCATACACGCTGTTCATTGTGCACTCAATCCAGACGCGATGTTTAATTGTGCACTCATTCCAGACAGACTGTTTCATTGTACACTCAGGCCAGAAACGGCGTTTTATTGTGCACTCACTCCAGACACGCTCTTTCATTGTGCACTCACTCCAGACACAATGTTTCATTGTGCACTGGCTCCAGACACGATGTTTCATTATGCACTCACACCAGACACGCTGTTCTATTGTGCACTCAATCCATACACGCTGTTTCATTGTGCACCCCAGACAGTTTGTGTCACTGTGCACTCAATGCATACACGCAGTTTCATTGTGCACCCATGACAGTTTATTTCATTGCACTCACTCCATACAGGCTTTTTCTTTTTGCACTCACTCCAGACACGCTGTTTCATTGTGCACTCAATACACAAACGCTTTTTTATTGCGCACTCACCCCAAACTCGATTTTTCATAGTGCACTCACTCCAGATACGCTGTTTCATTTATGTTAAATGTTTGTTCATTTTAACCGGCATGGCATGTTTTCTGAAAGCATCATTCACAAATAAATTAACACGATAATTTTTGTTTTTGGAAGCATCGTGATTCAAGGCATTCTTTATCATTTCGACTGGTTGATAACACCAACTGGCTTATGAAGGCCGTTGAGCAGGGGGCAGTCCGTCCCAAGGATACTTTGCTCTCGTAAGGAGGGTGACATTTTTAAACACCTGCAGAATTTGTTTTGTTTGATGGGGGCTTCAACATATCTTGGCTTGTCTGGGGCACCACTACCCCACTATAACCGCTAATTATAACCCCCCCCACACACACACTTTTCAACCTTTATTTTATTCTACCATGATTCTTGCCAACCGACATGTTTCAAATCATCCCCCCACGCCCTTGACCCCATTGTCTTTGACAGATACGTAATCGTGTACGGGAAAAGAAGGTAATTAATTTTTGTAAAAACTACACGTAGAAATACATCGGTCAATGGAAATATTTACATATAATGAATGGGGTTTTCAATATTAATAATTCATTAAGTAGTTGCCCCCCCCTTTCCCACCCATACACGACAGGTCTTTCTGCTAGGACCCCCTTCCCCGTTATCTGTTGTCACGGCCCCCATTTATCTACCACGCATTAATTATCTTGTCTTCATTTATCAACCACGCATTAATATTCTTGTCTGCATTATCTACCACGCATTACTTATCTTGTCTGCAATAACTACCATGCATTACTTAACTTGTCTGCATTATCTACCACGCATTACTTATCTTGTCTCCATTGTCCAACACGCAATACTTATCTTGTCTGCATTTATCTAATACGCATTACTTATCTTGTCTGCATTATCTAACACGAATTACTTATCTTGTCTGCATTATCTACCACACATAACTTATCTTGTCTGCATTTATCTAACACGCATTACTTATCTTGTCTGCATTATCTAACACGCATTACTTATCTTGTCTGCATTATCTAACACGAATTACTTATCTTGTTTGCATTATCTAACACAAATTACTTATCTTGTCTGCATTATCTAACACGCATTACTTATCTTGTCTGCATTATCTAACACGAATTACTTATCTTGTCTGCATTATCTAACACGCATTACTTATACTGTCAGCATTATCTACAACGCATTACATATCTTTTCTGCTCTAAAAATGATTGAATAAAACTGACGACACATTCCTAACACTCGTTCTTTAAACAACATGTCAATTAGTATGTAACATTTTGTTTATTCAACATGTCTCATTCAATAAGTATGTAGCATTTTGTTTATTGAACATGTCTCAGTCAATTAGTTTGTAACATTTTTTTATTGAACATGTCTCAGTCAATTAGTATGATACATTGTGTTTATTCAACATATATCAGTCCATTAGTTTGTAACATTTTGTTTATTCAACATGTCTCAGTCAATTAGTATGTAACATTTTGTTTATTCAACATGTTTCAGTCAGTTAGTATTTAATATTTTGTTTATTCAACATGTCTCAGTCAATTAGTATGTAGCATTTTGTTTATTCAACATGTTTCAGTCAATTAGTCTGTAACATTTTGTTTATTCATCATGTCTCAGTCAATAAGTATGTAACATTTTGTATATTCAACATGTCTCAGTCAATTAGTATGTAACATTTTGTATATTCAACATGTCTCAGTCAATTTGTATGTAACATTTTGTTTATTCAACATGTCTCAGTCAATTAATATGTAACATTTTGTTTATTCAACATGTCTCAGTCAATTAGTTTGTAACATTTTGTTTATTCGACATGTCTCAGTCAATTAATATGTAATATTTTGTTTATTCAACATGTCTCAGTCAATTTAGTTTGTAACATTTTTTATTCAACATGTCTCAGTCAATTAGTATGATACATTGTGTTAATTCAACATGTCCCAGTCAATTTAGTATGTAACCTTTTGTTTATTCAATATTTTTCAGTCAATTAGTTTAAAACATTTGTGTTTTCAACATGTCTCAGTCAATTAGTTTAAAACATTTGTGTATTCAACATGTCTCAGTCAATTAGTTTGTAACCTTATTTTATGACCACACCGCAGTCAAATGTTATTCAGAATCATATACGATATAAATAAATCTTGAGTACATTTAAACATAAGATTCTTATCTTTATGTATTGATATAAATTTTACCTTAGACCGCTAATAAATTTCATTATACAACATAACATTTGTCAGATAAAACTCTTTTACTATTTTAAAAAATAAACTGTTATATTCTTGTGAACCATTGTATTAGCTAAATGTGAAAAAAAAAATAGTTTCATAAAATGTAAATTCTACATAAAATAAAAAATATCTAATAAATAAAACTTAATTACTTCATAACATATGACAAAAACACACATACTGAATAAAACTTTAATTCTACATAACATATCATATAAAATATCTAATGAATATGACTTAATCACTTTATAACATAAAGCAATAACTTAATTAATGAAGAATGATTTTAAAATTTAGATAAGGCTTGAAGTAAAAAATGCGATCAATTATTCATTGAGTCAAATGTAGAGATCTTTAACTCCGCTAGTTTTAGTTTCGTGTGTTGATGAAATCATTTACTGAACTGAACTTTCCTTTAAAAATTCATTTTAAAAAAAAGCATAATTGCATTTGAAATAAGGTTTGTTGCGTACTTGGAGCCTCTAATGATTGATGTCACATCTAATGCTTGATGTCACATCTAATGCCTGATGTCTCAACGGAAGCTTGATGTAACATCTAAAGCTTGACGTCACACCTACTGTTTGATATAAGATCTAATGCTTGACGTCACACCTACTGTTTGATGTAACATCTAATGCTTGACGTCACACCTACTGTTTGATGTCACATCTAATGCCTGATGTCTCAACGGAAGCTTGATGTAAGATCTAATGCTTGACGTCACACCTACTGTTTGATGTAAGATCTAATGCTTGACGTCACACCTACTGTCTGATGTAACATCTAATGCTTGACGTCACACCTACTGTTTGATGTAACATCTAATGCTTGACGTCACACCTACTGTTTGATGTAACATCTAATGCTTGACGTCACACCTACTGTTTGATGTAACATCTAATGCTTGACGTCACACCTACTGTTTGATGTAAGATCTAATGCTTGACGTCACACCTACTGTTTGATGTAACATCTAATGCTTGACGTCACACCTACTGTCTGATGTAACATCTAATGCTTGACGTCACACCTACTGTTTGATGTAACATCTAATGCTTGACGTCACACCTACTGTTTGATGTAACATCTAATGCTTGACGTCACATGCGTGTGTGATGAGTGTTTTGTTGTATTAAAATTTTTAAAACCCCCCTTTTACTAAATACTTCTGTAAACACCTGTGTGTACGTTGAGAGAGATGTGTTTATATGGTGGGCTGATTTTAAGAAATTCTTTTATTGCCAATGTAGGCCAATACTCCACCAACGACTATCAAAATGCCACCAATGATACTCAGGATAAATGAGTAGCCGATGTCCAAAAAAGACAGGTACTCCGCATGCACCTTGGCGCCCCAAACAACGATGGCTATCAAGATGCATATAACTGAAATAAAAGAAGTTAAACTTTGATTACACCTCAAAAATATTATCATTACAGAGTTCGTAAATCTATCTATCTATATTTAAAACTCAATATTGTTGTGTGGATTTGTGTTTGACGCTTATAGACTCAAAACTACTCTACCTAGAGAGTTTAAACATTTGCAAAAACATTCTCTATTATCCTGGAATCTGAATAGATTATGTCAATTTTTGTTACAGGCCTCAGGTTGGCCCACGTTGGTCGAATTCGTGTTTTCCTTTAGCTGGTCTATAGAACTAAAAGAAAAGTGCCATTATTTTGTTTGTGGATGGGTCGGTCAGGAACGTGCAATGTAAGGATTTATTGGTGCGCGAAGATGAACGTCTTTCTTGTGCGCGATGCGTAAGATTTGATTTGATGTGTTTAGAACCTTGTGCTGAGTGTCTTGGTGTCTCAACGCTCTGAAAGTTTTATTATTGAATAATCATTCCTAGACCAAGGTGAGTCAACTTTTTTCTCAAATAGCCACATTTGTGACAAATGGCTACACTATACATAAATCATCAAACTTTAAACTGTTTTAGTAATAAGTTTTTTTAAAGAGCGAGGTTGGTACAATCAAACACATTTTAAAAATGATCATACGATGGCCATAGAGCTGGATGAATCAAAAGATTCCTTGAGATATGGTTCGATCATAAGGTTGCCATGGACCTGGATGAATCAATAGATTGCTAGAGATTTGGTTCGATCATAAGATGGCCATAGAGCTTGATGAATCAGAAGATTGCTTGAGAGTTAGTTCGATCATAAGATTGCCATGGAGCTGTATGAATCAATAGATTGCTAGAGAGTTGGTTCGATCATAAGATGGTCATAGAGCTGGATGAATCAAAAGATTGCTTGAGAGTTGGTTCGATCATAAGATTGCCATGGACCTAGATGAATCAATAGATTGCTAGATATTTGGTTCGATCATAAGATCGCCATAGAGCTGGACGAATCAATAGATGGCTGGAGAGTTGGTTCGATCATAAGATGGCCATAGAGCTGGATGAATCAATAGATGGCTGGAGAGTTGGTTCGATCATAAGATGGCCATAAAGCTGGATGAATCAATAGATGGCTGGAGAGTGGGTTCGATCATAAGATGGCCATAGAGCTGGATGAATCAATAGATGGCTGGAGAGTTGGTTCGATCATAACATCGCCATAGAGCTGGATGAATCAATAGATGGATGGAGAGTTGGTTCGATCATAAGATGGCCATAGAGCTGGATGAATCAATAGATGGCTGGAGAGTTGGTTCGATCATACGTTTGCTATGGAGCTGGATGAATCAAAAGATTGCTAGAGAGATGTTTGGATGACTGTATGGCTTCCGTCTTACCCCCCCCCCCCCTCTTTTTTAACCATTACGCTTCACGTCTTTGATCTGACAGCTGACATTTTAATGACCACTGTTGGTAAATATGAACAGTGATCAGCGATGCTGTTACATTCCATTATGTTCATGTTGACTGTTTTCGAGTATTTCATACCGTATCCGGCAGCGACGACCAATCCAATTTCTTCTAAACCAATTTGTACGAAGCCAACACATTCATATTTGTTCATAGTTTTCACTTCCCCCATTTCTCATTCGCACCTTCTCTAGAAGACTATTTTCAGCCACAAAAAACCATAAAACATAATTTCCAACAATCCTTTCGAACTAACTTTAAAGTTTGTTGTTTATTATTTAAAACTTCCACCTTGTCTTGAACAAGTTGGTTTCGAAATAATTTCCGGTGACCATTTCGAACCCAAATACTTGAAGGGTGGTATATATATATATATCTTATTGGTCTTCTCTTCTCCTCCTGATCTATTCGGCTGGTTTCCATTCTCTTGACATAACCTTGCCAGTTAAGGTGACTCGTACTAAGAGGGGGGGGGGGGTGGCGGAGAACATGCTGCAAGCTTCGATACGTTCCAAGCCATCGCCATTCTGTCGTGACGTCAAACTTATATGTCATAACATTAAGAAATAATATTTATGGTGACTCGTACTGAGGGGGGGGGGGGGGGTGGCGGAGAACATGCTGCAAGCTTCGATACGTTCCAAGACATCGACATTCTGTCGTGACGTCAAACTTATATGTCATAACATTAAGAAATAATATTTATTTGGTACCTATACTTCAAAATGTAAAGTGTAGGTAAAGTAATGAACTTACATGCTGCCACACAGCCAGCCAATGCAATCACAGGAAGAATTGCATTCTTGGGTTTCCCAATTATAGGTAACAGAACAGATAAGGCGGCCATGGCCAGACCCAGGAAACTGGCCAACATTCCTAGAATGGCGAAGGCTTCACAGGCCTTGACGCTGCTTTCCGATTCATCAACTAAATATTCAATAATTAATTTTGTAAAGTTATTATTAAAATGGATTTTTTGTATCCATACATATTGCTATCATTTAAAGTTAAGTTGTGCCACCAAATGAGTGAAACTAAACCATAAAATGATGTTTTTCTTTCTTACAGTTGTACAGTTCAGATGATGCACACAAAAGACAAGCAATGCATTTATTGTTTGATAAATATTAAGAAGCAATGATGCTTTAATTTTTTATTGTAAAACCTCTCCATACAACACAATATATTTAATATGGTGGAGCCGAATACAAGTTTATAAAAAAAATCGATTACTTACACTTATTTCCAAATTTGTATTCGTCACAATCGTAAGCTTCAATTGTACCTCCACAGCTTTTCCAAAGACCATATGCCCTATAAAAGCCCTTATCGCTAATAGCTGACCAGTTCGGTGTGGCTAAGCCAATAACGTGTAGAAGCACACCAACCCCAATGGTGCACACAGCTACTAGAGCAAGAACGCTAACTCCTCCAGGAAGGGCCATATTTGTTTCTGGAATTACCTTGGGGGGAAAAAATGCAGATACAAAAGAGGATTTTCAGTTAGGATTCTCAAAATCAAACAAAACCGTCATTTTTTTTTGTTTGTTTCTGGTTACGCAATACAATTCTATGTGTTTAAAGCTTTAAGATGTATGTCAGTCAACTTTCTTACTTAACCAACGTAACTAAGAGATGTACCCGGGCTGTTTTCGAGCCTAGGTCCCTTTAACCCGGGCTTAGTCTAGATTGAGGATATACTTACACACTTTACACCGTGCCTAGAGGACTTTTCAAATGATGTCAAGGGTCAATTAGCGCCCCTATGTATATTTTTTTTTTAAAAATCCCCGTTATTTTTTGAAAATTAATCTATTTGCATTTAGCATTAATGCCCCCCCCCCTTTTTTTTCTTCTTTTTGTACCTACTGTGCACCTGAGGTATGTGCCTTTGCCGTGTCACGGTGTAACAGGCCAGAGAACACTACTGTCCAGATTTAGTCCGGGGTTAGTCTGACTTCGGCAAGAGTAATCCATGGGGGTTAAACGAGCCTAGGTAAAAATATACCCGGGGGGGGGGGAGGGGAATAGCCTGGGAAAGATTATACTCAAACCTAAGGCCCGATAGAAGTATGAAGGGATAAACACATGAATAATGATTATTTCACGGTGTAACAGGCCAGAGAACACTACTGTCCAGATTTAGTCCGGGGTTAGTCTGACTTCGGCAAGAGTAATCCATGGGGGTTAAACGAGCCTAGGTAAAAATATACCCGGGGGGGGGGAGGGGAATAGCCTGGGCAAGATTATACTCAAACCTAAGGCCCGATAGAAGTATGAAGTGATAAACACATGAATACTGATTATTTCGACACTTATCGGGGGCTATCTTAAATCTCTAACACAAATACTTATCCAGAGAAAGATTCAGGACAAAAATTTAAAGTAGTTTTTACACATTAAAATTAAAGGATACCCCCACACCTACACACGCTCACACACACCCCACATACCGAACACACACCCACACACACGCCGCAATCACCCACGCCGCACACACACCATACACCCCACACATAATGGTGCAATTAATATGATTGTTCATTTGTTCATAATCTCTTAAATATATTTTGCTTGTGGTGTGACTGCTTCCATTTCCGGATAGCACGCAAAATATAATTCCCGATAAGTACGCTAAATGATTTTTTTTTTAAAAATTACTCAACTGCGTTTGGTGCGTAATATTGTCTTTTCTTTTCGGAAGTGAAGTCGTCTCAACTTTGATAATGTGTAATTGTGATCGGTCAATCAATTTATCGAGTCACAGACTTATGTTTATATGAGGATATCGCAACTCAACCGATTCACTGTTGCAATGATCTCTGCATTTGTCGCCAAAATTTCATCACGAGGGATGCCATAGATGTTCACATACACTCTCCACTTTTTTAATTTAAGAAGTACTGTAGTTTTATTGTCAAGTCAGTGTTCATGTGGTGAGTGACTTAAACTCTGTGAAGTGTTTGGATGTCATCTGATTCTGTCAGTGTTCATGTGGTGAGTGACTTAAACTCTGTGAAGTTTTTGGATGTCATCTGATTCTGTCAGTGTTCATATGGTGAAGTGACTTAAACTCTGTGAAGTGTTTGGATGTCATCTGATTCTGTCAGTGTTCATGTGGTGAGTGACTTAAACTCTGTGAAGTGTTTGGATGTCATCTGATTCTGTCAGTGTTCATGTGGTGAGTGACTTAAACTCTGTGAAGTGTTTGGATGTCATCTGATTCTGTCAGCGTTCATATGGTGAAGTGACACCAGAAACTTGGTTGTCTTGACAGACATGTTTGGCAGTAAGCTTTGTTTAAGAACATGCTTTTTCCCATTGTATGGAATCACTCCTTCTGCTCGAAATGACTTAGCTATTTTTCTGAAATCAGACTTAATATGACTTAACTGTTAGTCTGAAATCAAACTTGGTATTTAAAACGTCTCTCTAGAGGCAGATCGTCTATCTATTGGGCGACTTAAGTTGTTGCAGAGTTCAATAATAAAAGTTAGTCATACACTTGGCCATGCAGTTGGTCATACACTTGGTCATACTTTTTGTCATACACCTGGTGATAAATTTGGTCATACACTCGGTCATAAACTTGGGTATACATTTGGTCATACCCTTGGTCATACATTGTTATACACTTTGTTATACACTTGGTCATATACTTGGTCATACACTTGGTTATACATTTGTCATAAACTTTGTCATACACTTCGTCATACACTTGGACATTCATATGGTCAGACACTTAGTCATTTACTTGTCATAAATTTGTTCATACACTTGGTAATACAGTTAGTTATACAGTTAGTCATACACTTGGTCATACAGTTGGTCATACAGTTGGTCATACACTAGGTTATACACTTGGACACACATATGGTCAACATTTGGTCATACACTTGGTCATACAGTTGGTCATACACTTGGATATACACTTGCACATACACTTGGTCATACAGTTGGTCATACAGCTTGTCATACGTTTTGTCATACACCTGGTGATAAATTTGGTAATACACTAAGTCATACACTTGGGCATATATTTTTGTCATACAATGGATGTTTTCTGGTTATCACAATTTGAGACGCAATTGTTTTGGAGGATATTTTATGGGGAAGAAATATTTTATTTTGGGCATGTAATGAGAAGTAATGACTTGAAAGACACGTGCTCGAAATTCCATAATCTTGCCTATTCTGTTCCTCTTCCCCTATCCTTTTAAGAGTAACAAAAGCCTAGGTACTCCGGGAGGGTTTCTTTTGAACAAAATATACATTTTCAAACATGGATGAACTAACTTGACCTTGACACCGCTTTGCGTGAATTTCTTTGTTCTTCTTTTATTGTTTAACCTGTATACTGCCCCCTCCTCGTTACAATCTAATTGCCTTGGAATTTCTTTTCCTCCCGTCTGTGCCTATATTTCATCACTTACCTACTAATGGTCTGTCACATTCCTCTTGCTGTCCTCTCGGATACACCATATCAGCTAAGTTTTAATTTTGTTATTTGTGTTAGTCTTTGTTTGTTCGCCGAAGAAGGCTTCTTGCCGACACGTGTGGATTTTTTAAAATATATATATATTTTTTTGTGTGTGCGTCTTTTAGCCCAGATTTGACCAAACTTGTTTCACACATTCCCTTCTCTCTAAACCTGATTGCATGCTCCTCCCCCCCCCCCCCTTTTTNAAAGCATTTAGTGGATGTCAACTCAGAGTTAACAGCCAGATGGATGACGCCAAACACCTATTTGGAATATTTTTATGTTTAAATTCTGTTGCCCCCCCCCCTTCCCCCCCTCCAACACCCCAAAGAAACTAAAAGACAGTTGTGTGTATTTTGCCCGGTCACAGTGGCCCCGGGAAATGTTGAGGAGCAAGCCTGTTAGCAAATTGATGTTTGCTTTCCCATCCTACGATGGTCTCTTTTCATTCGGTTATAGCCTCAAATAACGTGGTCTGTCAAGGCGTGGCACCCACTAAATGCTATACTAGTAAAATTCCTGTCATTTATCCAAGCAAGCACGAATAAATCATTTAAGCCGTTTTCCCTCCTCATCAATGCCTACCGTGCCCCCCTCCCCAATCATTCAATAAACTATTTTTAATACTTCAATTCTCACATGGACGTCTGCATTGCGTCTATGACTGCCGATAATTAATTTCCTTTGTTTTTATTTTATGATTTTTAATTTACCGTCAATGTATATGAGTCATGGGTGGATATTGGCCACCTGTGCCACTGACTCTATCACACTTCTTTGTGGGGATTGTTTAGATTAGAATGGAAATTTCAATCTTAACTACATTTTTGTATCTGAGAAAATTAAAGAGGGCTGATATGAAAATGACAAATATTTTTTGAAGAAATAAAATGTTAAAAGATGGAGATTTTATATTTTTAAAATAAAATAGTCACATATTAAGATGTAGTCACATACTAAGATGTAGTCACATACTAGGATGCAGTCACATACTAGGATGCAGTCACATACTAGGATGCAGTTACATACTAGGATGCAGTCACATACTAGGATGCAGTCACATAATAGGATGCAATCATCTAGACAGTTTATATTTATTCGTATGCTGTTATCAACCTAATTTTTTTAAAAAATATTCTTCACAAATATAAAAATTAAATTACAAAAACACGCCACAGTAGTTACTACTTAAAATGCCATCCTAAACTGGCTGAATTATTTCAATTGCCATATTTGAACCATATATGACACCATATTTGACACCATATTTGACACCATATTTGACACCATAATTGACACCATATATGACACCATATTTGACACCGTATTTGACAACAAGTTGATTTTTTTCTCCAGAATCTTATGACGAAAAAATCACTATTTCTTAGGATACAATCCACAATGTTTCATCACGTAAACATCACTTACATCACTGTAACATTTCAATATATATTTATAAATATATATATTTAGATATCTATATAGATATAAATAAATCAAATAATTTAGAAACAAACGTCTTTTTATCAAAGTAATATAACTTACCAGCTTTAACTGAACAGCACCAAAAGTTCAATGAGAACTGGTTGATCTACCAAATAACCCTCCAATCGTATGCGTATTATGCCCAGTTACAAATATAATGCACCGAATAATAATAGCCAATTCCCGAAACCCCACCCCTTCTGTCCCACATACACCCAACTCATCTTCCAGGAAAGGGGCCTTTTCAATTTTTTTTTTTTTTTTTTAAAAATTTCATAATTGGTTCTTTTGTGGATACCAAGGAATGCTGCACTGGTTATACTTTAGTAGATGCTATGGAATGTTGCACTGGTTATACTTTAGTAGATGCTATGGAATGTTGCACTGGTTATACTTTAAGGATGCTATGAAATGTTGCACTGGTTATACTTTAGTAGATGCTATGAAATGTTGCACTGGTTATACTTTAAGGATGCTATGAAATGTTGCACTGGTTATACTTTAGTAGATGCTATGGAATGTTGCACTGGCTACTCTTCAGGATGCTATGAAATGTTGCACTGGTTATACTTTAGTGATGCTTCGGAGTGTTGCACTGGTTATACATTAGTGATACTAAGGAATGTTGCACTGGTTATACATTAGTGATACTAAGGAATGTTGCACTGGTTATACTTTAGTGGATGGTATGGAATGCTGCACTGGTTATACTTTAGTAGATGCTATGGAATATTGCACTGGTTATACTTTAGTAGATGCTATGGAATGTTGCACTGGTTATACTTTAAGGATGCTATGAAATGTTGCACTGGTTATACTTTAGTAGATGCTATGAAATGTTGCACTGGTTATACTTTAAGGATGCTATGAAATGTTGCACTGGTTATACTTTAGTAGATGCTATGGAATGTTGCACTGGCTACTCTTCAGGATGCTATGAAATGTTGCACTGGTTATACTTTAGTGATGCTTCGGAGTGTTGCACTGGTTATACATTAGTGATACTAAGGAATGTTGCACTGGTTATACATTAGTGATACTAAGGAATGTTGCACTGGTTATACTTTAGTGGATGGTATGGAATGTTGCACTGGTTATACTTTAGTGGATGTTATGGAATGTTGCACTGGTTATACTTTAGTTGATGCTATTGAATGTTTCACTGGTTATACTTTAGTTGATGCTATTGAATGTTGCACTGGTTATACTTTAGTGGATGCTATGGAATGTTGCACTGGTTATATTTTATTGGATGCTTTGGAATTTTCCACTGGTTATATTTTAGTAGATGCTATGAAATGTTGCACTGGTTATACTTTAGTGGATGTTATGGAATGTTGCACTGGTTATACTTTAGTTGATGCTATTGAATGTTGCACTGGTTATACTTTAGTTGATGCTATTGAATGTTGCACTGGTTATACTTTAGTGGATGCTATGGAATGTTGCACTGGTTATATTTTAGTGGATGCTTTGGAATTTGCACTGGTTATATTTTAGTAGAAGCTATGAAATGTTGCACTGGTTATACTTTAGTGGACGCTATGGAATGTTGCACTGGTGTGGCATTTAGTTCATAAATTGTTTTAAAATAAAAATAAAACATTTCTAGAAACAATGGTATTTATGGTTGAGCACAAAGAAAAAAATTGCCGCCATTCCTGGGATCCCTTTTGAAAGTCTTTCATGCATGAAGTCCTCCTTTGATAATCTTGATGTGTCACGGGTGTGTGTGGAAGGAGGGGGTAGGGTGCGGTGAATTTGAACAGCTAAGTGGGACTGCTGCAGCTATGTGGGGCAGCCCCAAAGTTTAACACTTAAGTTGATCTAGGAGTGGTCCTTGTAATATGGCATAGACCAGTGATGCCACTCACATTTTTTAAAATATCCCTAGATTTGGTCCTTAAATGTCCAACTGATTTTTTTTTTTTTAATAGTGTTGCCATGAATAATTCGCAGATATTCGGTAATCGACTTTTTAAAATCAGCTAATCGGCTACATAATTATTTTGTAGATTGGAAAATCATCAAAATTAAGCATGTCAGATACTCTAAGAATGCTAGCATTATCCCCCCTGCCCACCCCCTCGAAATTTAATGTCTTTTAAATTCCTTTGTATTGACTTCGCTTTTGTTCATGGTTGCCTTGCTGACTGTCTTGTTGGCAGGAAAAATCTTTGGACAACCAGTTGACCCAGTACCAGTAAACCATGTTTTCCTTGTGATTGTAGCTGGAATTTCACATGTGGTTGTAGCTGGTATGTTGCATGTGGTTGTAGCTGGTATGTTGCATGTGGTTGCAGTTGCTTTGTTGCATGTTGTTGTAGCGGGAAGTTGCATGTGGCTGTAGCTGGAATGTTGCATGTGTCTGTAGCTGGAATGTTGCATGTGATTGTAGCTGGTATTTTGCATGTGGTTGTAGCTGGTATGTTGCATGTGATTGTAGCTGGTATGTTGCATGTGGTTGTAGCTGGAATGTTGCATGTGGTTGTAGCTGGTATGTTGCATGTGGTTGAAGCTGGCATTTTGCATGTTGTTGTAGCTGGAATGTTGCATGTGGTTGTAGCTGGTATGATTCATGCAGTTGTAGCTGGTATGTTGGACGACTGGGTACATAATATGCTCTCGCTGTAACCAGGCATTGAAAGAGGTGTAGACTGTGGTCGATTGCATAACCAACTCAATCCGATCGGCGCTGCGGTAATATTGATTGTTTTCCTATCCCATATGCTTCCCATTTAATCGGGGCGGGGGGAGGGGAGATATTCGTTTCATAATTAATGTTATTTCTTGCGTTCCGCGAAAGTCAGGGCAAAGGATGAGAATGGGGAGAAAATACACGCGGAGGATTAGTATGCTCTTCAAGATCTATCCGGGTTGGGAAGCTCTTCAAGATTTTGCAGGGTTAGGGTTAGGTCAAGTTTAGGGCTACTAAGCTCTTCAAGATCCTCGTGGTTAGGGTTAGGTCAAGTTTAGGGCTACTAAGCTCTTCAAGATATCTCCGCTGTTTTCTTTAAGTAGATTAGAGGAATATACGTTTAAGATTGATTTTTTTTTTAAATTACGAGAAATTAAAAGTGAAACAATTTATGTTGCAAAGTTCTAAAGTTTTTACTCACTTGTTCGGATCAATGCGAATTATGACAACATTGGCATTACATTCTGGTCCATGTTGAAGTGTGGAATATTTTATTGGAATTAAAGTCAGAGTGTCTACATTTCACTACGAATGACAGACAAAAGACACTGGTATCTCATTCATTCATAAAGAATCATTCATCCTAACAACATTATTGACTATTCAAAAATATATTAGGATTTTTTTTAATGTTGTGTTTCCAAGTTATTGGTCACGTGAACTATCGGTATGCTCCAATACTCCGTGGTGAACCTCTTGGATGTAACACTCTTGAAAGCTGATATGTCATGTGGCGTTTTGTGGTGGTCATGGATAAATAGGGGGTGGAGAATGGGGGGTATGCAAAAAAAATCCATGACGTCTTGGTATAGGTGACTAAGGGAAGGGTGGAAAGACGAACCTCTGCAGGTGTCAGGTGTTGTGCAAAATCTCAGAGTTTAAAAAGAAAAGAAAAATGGAGACCGGGGGGGGGGGGGGGGTGTGGGGGGGGAAAAAAAAAAGGGGNAGAGGGAGAAAGAGTTAATTTTCTTTTATTGTACTGTTTTTGTATACTAAATATGTGACCATCAGTTCACTAAATGATAGCATTGCCACCACACACATGTAGACTAATGTCCATCAACATTGCCACCACACACATGTAGACAAAGGTCCAATTTTACGATGCCCACGAACGTTTCATAGCATTCTGTCACACACATCGTATGACATCATCTACTATGGGGGGGGGGGGAATAAATGCTGTCTTACCAAGTTTTTTACCAAATTTCCAAACTACATTTTTAATACCTCCCGACACAGCACAATGTAATTCGGTCTCAAGGTTCGAAAATGCTAATTTTCTGAAAAGGAGTCACCACTTGGCAGAACCAGGTTAGGAAGTTCCAGCCCACGCTCATAGAAACCAAAAGGAATTTGTGGTAGGGGAAAACCTGAAGAACGACGAACCAAAACTACATGTTTCGGCTGATGGCCTTCCCTGCAACAACAAATATACAACAGAGAATAATGATGTCACAATATACCATAACTTAGCATCGATGAATTGGAGGGGAATTTACAAAACTAATTAATTGAAGTGTCTTATGAAATCTAAAAATGACTGTGGTTGTGTAATGTATGAGCTGTGAGAGATGGGAGGAGAATGGGTGCACAGGGGTAACAGAACACATTTAGTGCACATGGGTACACATAATACATTTAGTGCACATGGGTACACATAACACATTTAGTGCACATGGGTACCCAGAACACATTTAGTGCCTATGGGTACACAGAACACATTTAGTGGACATGGGTACACAGAAAACACTTCCTTCACAGGGGTAAACAGAACACATTTAGTACACACTGGGTACACAGAACACATTTAGTGCACAAGGGTAAACAGAACACAGTTAACAGAGGTACACAGAACACACTCATTTCACAGGGGTACACAGAACACATTTAGTTCACAAGGGTACACAGAACACATTTAGTTTAAGTTGAAATCATTGTCAGTTAATATATTATTATATAAAAGTGTTTATTTCGGTTACTTCCCGAGAAGGGTGTTGAGAGTTGATGGTGGTATTCCTGTCTGCCAAGTGGTGTGGTCATGCATATGTGATTATGAAGATAAGGAAGCATTGTTATAATATGAAGTGTATCGGTTGTCATTATTAGTTATATTGTTGCGATGAGTTATGCAGCAGTGACATTTGATCCCGCACAGTGGTGACAGTTATATTTGAAGGGTTCAGTCAGGAAGACACCAGTAACATTATTTTGCCATTGCCAATAAGATTATACTGCCCTAGATAATTTTTGCCAAGGAGCCTTTTAAGGCTAAACATCCTTTGCTTTGTTTCGTCTTACCGCAGGTCTTCCCCAACACTGTGTGGTTATGTTCCATTTCTTATGGAGCCCAAGCCAACCGACAAATTTAGGAGATTCTCCAACGGCTTTAAAACATTTATTGATTAGCATCATTTATGTCCATTTATTCCAGGTAGATACCAAAAGTAGAATTGCCAGTCTTTAAAAGGTCATTTCCTGATACTTCAACTCCGTGAGTTTACTTTGGAAATTACGTCATCTAAATGACAACCATTCTCTTGATTTTAACATCCCACAAACTACCTATGAAAGAGAGCACCACCTATGAAAGAGAGCCATGCCTATGAAAGAGAGCACTGCCTATGAAAGAGAGCACTGCCTATGAAAGAGAGCACCACCTATGAAAGAGAGCACTGCCTATGAAAGAGAGGACTGTCTATGAAAGAGAGCACTGTCTATGAAAGAGAGCACTGCCTATGAAAGAGAGCACTGTTTATGAAAGAGAGCAATGTCTATGGAAGAGAGCACTGCCTATGAAAGAGAGCACTGCCTATGAAAGAGAGCACTGCCTATGAAAGAGCACTGCCTATGAAAGAGAGCACTGTTTATGAAAGAGAGCACTGTCCACGAATGAGACCACTGTCCACGAAAGAGAGCACTGGCCACGAATGAGAGCACTGGTCACGAATGAGAGCACTGGCCATGAATGAGAGCACTGGCCACGGATGAGAGCACTGGCCGCGGATGAGAGCACTGGCCGCGAATGAGAGCACTGGTCGCGGATGAGAGCACTGGCCATGAGTGAGAGCACTGGCCATGAGTGAGAGCACTGGCTATGAGTGAGAGCACTGACCACGAATCAGAGCACTGGCCATTAATCAGAGCACTGGCATTAATCAGAGCACAGTTATTATCAGCTTGTATTAAGTTGTACCATTCTAGATATCACATTTAGCTAGTTGCCAAGACTAAATTGTCATTTTTTTCCATTGAATTTTGCGGCCTAATTCAGACAGGGCAATCATCGTATTCAAACGACTAGCATAAAGCATCACATAGCCAGAATTTTTTTTTTCCGCAAAAATGGCACATGTATCAAAGCAATAATTAAATCTTCCAAATGTGTTTTTATGTAGGACTGTTATCGGACGAGTAAGGTTTTGTATAGCTCTAGTATTTTTACGTGGGAACCAGGAACTTGAGCTCTTTTACCGCCCCCACACTCCAAAAAAATTTAAAATCCCAGGATGTTTTAGCCTATCACAGAGGCCCAGGTCTCGAAGCCCGCCTGGTGGGAAATGTCCCAACAGAAACAAGGCACGCGTTTCTAGGTCAATGTGTCTAACGTTTTAACATTCTTTCTTGGAAAGGAAGGAAGTGTTTCAGTTTCATTTTCAGTTTTTTTTCAAATAAATTTCCTTCGGTTGCTACGTCCATTTTGTTGTTCAGTTTGGGAATGGTTATATCTTGCGTACCTCTTATTATTACTTAGTACATTGAACAACTACGTCTTACTCTTGGGTAACTGATTTCAGCACTACACAACTTAGCACAACCAAAATCAAAGCTTTGAATATCACAGTGGTTTTATGTGATAGTAAAGATGATAAAAGCTGGTAAACGCCGATAAAAGGGGTAAAAGATGGTAAAAGCTGATAAACGATGTTTAAAGCTAGCGAAGCTGGTTAAAGTTGATACAAGAGGGTAAGGAGTTTCATCGTGTTTTTTCATGTGTTCTTTGTTTAACTTAAATTGCTGTAAATATTGGCTGTTTCATTAGTAGAGACTTTCACCAATAATATATAAACTAGGTGATTTAAGGCAATTTAGTTGTATAGGAGAGAATTTCATGCATGATATAGACTTGATGATTTCTCAATGACAGATCTGCATAAGATACATACTTATGACAATAGTACAGTTTGATCGCAGAGGTTGGTGAGGGAGATTCACTGTTGGAGAAAAAGCTGGCGTGGGAGACTGAATGGTTGAGCACACGTTTGGTGAGGGCGCTCACTGTTGGAGCACTGTTGGAGCACTGTTGGAGCACATTTTGTCGAGGCAGACCCCATGTTGGAGCACAGGTTGGCGAGGACGACTGAATGTTGGAGGCCACTTTCATCCTCACAGTCAACTACAGCCTTTATCGCCTTAGCTTGCCTGCCAGGCCACTTTAGTCATCACAGTAGTCGACTACAGCCTTTATCACCTTAGCTTGACTGCCAGGCCACTTTAGTCATCACAGTAGTCGACTACAGCCTTTATCACCTTAGCTTGCCTGCCAGGCCACTTTAGTCATCACAGTAGTCGACTACAGCCTTTATCACCTAAGCTTGACTGACAGGCCACTTTAGTCATCACAGTAGTCGACTACAGCCTTTATCACCTTAGCTTGACTGGCAGGCCACTTTAGTCATCACAGTAGTCGACTACAGCCTTTATCACCTTAGCTTGCCTGCCAGGCCACTTTAGTCATCACAGTAGTCGACTACAGCCTTTATCACCTTAGCTTGACTGCCAGGCCACTTTAGTCATCACAGTAGTCGACTACAGCCTTTATCACCTTAGCTTGACTGGCAGGCCACTTTAGTCATCACAGTAGTCGACTACAGCCTTTATCACCTTAGCTTGACTGGCAGGCCACTTTAGTCATCACAGTAGTCGACTACAGCCTTTATCACCTTAGCTTGACTGGCAGGCCTTTTTAGTCATCACAGTAGTCGACTACAGCGTTTATCACCTTAGCTTGACTGGCAGGCCTTTTTAGTCATCACAGTAGTCGACTACAGCCTTTATTACCTTAGCTTGACTGCCAGGCCACTTTAGTCATCACAGTAGTCGACTACAGCCTTTATCACCTTAGCTTGACTGGCAGGTCACTTTAGTCATCACAGTAGTCGACTACAGCCTTTATCACCTTAGCTTGACTGGCAGGCCATTTTAGTCATCACAGTAGTCGACTACAGCCTTTATCACCGTGGCTTGACTGGCAGGCCACTTTAGTCATCACAGTAGTCGACTACAGCCTTTATCACCTTAGCTTGACTGGCAGGCCTTTTTAGTCATCACAGTAGTCGACTACAGCCTTTATCACCTTAGCTTGACTGCCAGGCCACTTTAGTCATCACAGTAGTCGACTACAGCCTTTATCACCTTAGCTTGACTGCCAGGCCACTTTAGTCATCACAGTAGTCGACTACAGCCTTTATCACCTTAGCTTGACTGCCAGGCCACTTTAGTCATCACAGTAGTCGACTACAGCCTTTATCACCGTGGCTTGACTGGCAGGCCACTTTAGTCATCACAGTAGTCGACTACAGCCTTTATCACCTTAGCTTGACTGGCAGGCCTTTTTAGTCATCACAGTAGTCGACTACAGCGTTTATCACCTTAGCTTGACTGCCAGGCCACTTTAGTCATCACAGTAGTCGACTACAGCGTTTATCACCTTAGCTTGACTGCCAGGCCACTTTAGTCATCACAGTAGTCGACTACAGCCTTTATCACCTTAGCTTGCCTGGCAGGTCATTTTCATCCTCACAGTCGACTACAGCCTTTATCACCTTCGCATGCGAGGGAAGCACAATGAAATCACGTTTATTTCCTAAGGGCTCTATCATTCTTTAACGTCAACAATGACGGATGCGTTTTTAGATTGAACGTATTAAACTTAAGCTAATTAAAACAATGCTCAACAAACTAAGTTAACGACACATACAAGGAATCCTCTCTTCAATGTAGGTTGGGAAACATGAGTAAAAAAATGTTAAGGACACGCAACCGCCTAATAACAAATGGATTCCTTTTTTCAATGATTATCTCTCTAATCACAAGAACACTTATAAAAAACATCTAAGCGATTTTTGTTTTTTGAACTATGACATTGTTAGCTTGTGACACGTGGGTCAAAATAATTGTCATTAAATAAAAAGAATTAACTATTCCCCATAGTATAGAAACATGTTTTCTTATAGGAACTCTACAAAAACAAAAGGAGGTGTGGGGGGAGGAGGCACTTTAAATTCCCATAGTTTGGAGAGCATTGTCATGAGAGATAGTGCACTAGAGAGAGAGAGAGAGAGATTTGAGAAAGAATGAGACAGAGAGAGAGACAGAGATTTGAGAAAGAATGAGAGAGAGAGAGAGAGAGAGAGAGAGAGAGAGAAACGAGTCTATAAGAAGGAAGGCAGAGAGCGTTGGTGCACAGAATTGACCTTATCTGCTTCAAATCTAGCACGCCTATTTTTAAACACTTTATATACAATCCATGATTTTTATCAAAACAAAATTTGTTAACGGCATTATTAGAAAAACAAAATAAAACAATTATAGATTTCGCTAAAAATTGACTTTTTATTCAGTGTTTGACTCGGGTTTGTATCAGATAATCAAGTATTCAATTTTATTTTACAACAAATTATTTTTATTTTTTTCTTCATGCTGTGTGAAGGGGTTTTTATTTTTTCTTCAAAATTTCACTTCTAATAAGGAAAAGGGACTCGAATAATATTTGATGCATTTTTTGACTCATTAAATAAAATATACAAAAAACACAAAATGATAGCCAAAGATGAACAGCTTAACCAGTAACTTTCACTGATCAGATCAGACCAGTGTCAGGTGAGACATTATAGGACTTTCTAAAAAAATCACCTTAACATTTTCAACAGTTTTTTTAATACATCAGTCTGCAGAGAGTGAGAGGTTTTTTTTTTCTTCATAGGGTTTGTCCTTTAATGGCGGACATCTATTAATAGACCCAGTGAGCTATCCGTTTAAAAAAAACAAAAAAACATTCAAATCATGCCTGGATATTGCAGGTAACAGTAGTGTTGACATGTGTGTATCTGGTCATAGGTTTATATGCAAAAACACACCAATAGCTAACAACATTTTTTTTATATTAGGTGATAAGCAATTTTCCCACCATACATATTCCAATGGTAGTCGCGACAGTATCCTAGGAAATTATCAACTAAATAATTATATTGTCTGTCAAAAAATTAGAAGGAAAAAAAACAACACACATGTCAAGTTTCTTTAAGAATTTTTTTAATGACTAACATAGAGCAGTAACATAACTCTCATCCATGTAACTGAACCATAAATGATTATTCTTTAATATACCAATAAGATGAGTAACTAGCATATAAATATGTCCACATGAAAAGTCTGTCAATGAGAACTGTTCATTAAAGTTGTCCTAAACGTTCAGATTTAATTTACTGTACTGTGTTTTTTTAGTAGCGAATTGATTGGCCAATGATTTTAACGTGTCTATTAAATGTGACCATCCAATTCAGTAGCAGTGGCGAACACACAAGAGAAGCGAGTTACTCAGAGTAGATAGAGAAGAAACAATCATTTCTATTTGAACACATCGATAGTACCACACCATAGTGTCAAAAATACATCTGCAGAGTCAAGTCAAAGAGATATAATAGTACATGACAACAAAAAGAATGTTATATCATAGCCTGGTCAGTTCAGAGACGGTTGGGCAATTAATATGTGAGACATGGATTGCGACAATAACTTCCGCCTGTCCAAGATGGTAGCAACGGAAAGCTGGGGACAGAAAAGATGAAAATAAAATATTCAAATATTTATTAGCGATTGCAATGTATTTTCACTTAAGTTTTCAGTATTTAAAATGTTGACCCAAGTAATTACTTTATGAATTAAAACGTACAATTGGTTAGCGTTATGTTGTGCTTTCATAGTACAAACTTAACATAAGATTGTCTTTGTTTGACACAATGTGTTTGTGTCTCGTGAATCTGGCCTATTCCCTTAGTTTTCAGTAAAGTGTCTCGGTAATAAGTCCACTTTTTAATTTACTCACATAAGAGAAAGCTATAAAGTATTTATTAGTTAATGACACAATGGCATTGTTTTTGTAAAAAACTTCGACTGTCCTATGGTGTATGAGAGATAAAAGCCTGATAGGGATAGAACCTAGTATGACAAGGATTTGAAGAAAAAAAAATGTGTCTTCTTCGGCTCCATTGAAATGTCTTGTTCACGCCAATTCCAATTCAACCCCTTCCTTTAAAATATCTCTCCTTAACACGTTTAATAAAAATTGAGTTTTGAAATGCATAACACATAACGAGTTGTAAATCTCGTAATTAGAGAAAAAACGACCCTTAAAGCACCAACAAAGTTGTAAACATTACAAATCAGATACGTTTTGTATGACGTGTCAGGATAGAGCGGTTCTCAAATTGTAAAATGACCCGCTACAGACGTGATGATGCATATTGGTTAAAATGTCAAAAGCAATCATGGTGGACACTTGACAACGTCTGTTGACACAAATGTTTAAACAGAACGCCCGGCACATTATGTGAGAGTGAGTTGACTAATCCATAACATAATGTGTTCGATATGGTCCTCAGCCAGACACGTTATATGAGAGTGATTAGACTAATCAACAACATAATGTGTTCGATATGGTCCTCAGCCAGACACGTTATATGAGAGTGATTAGACTTATCAACAACATAATGTGTTCGATATGGTCCTCAGCCAGACACATTATGTGAGAGTGATTAGACTAATCAATAACATAATGTGTTCGATATGATCCTCAGCCAGACACATTATGTGAGAGTGATTAGACTAATCAATAACATTATGTGTTTTATATGTGCGTAAGCTCCTTTCAAAAAGCCATCACTCTCCCCTCCCCTCCCCTCCCCACTGGAGGCACACGAGTTGTGATGGTATTTAATTTCCTTGGCATCTGGCCTTGGGGTAATATAAAACATAATGAACTTTAACATCCCTTATGGACACATCTTTATGGTTGAGATGTACAAGTAATGTTTTAGCAGCATCTGATATCTCACCTGGCTGTCTTGATCAAAATAAACTGGACCAACTTGTTTTGGGGCACATAGTCAACGGGGAGTCTGATGTCCCTAAAGGTGACCACAATGTGGGTACAGTTGGCTACAGCACTGTAGATGGGAGGGTTCTGAAATATAGAGATGAAATTAGCACTGTCTTTGAAAGGTTTCTGAAATATTGAGAGGTAATTAGCACTGTAGATGGGAAGGTTCTGAAATATAGAGATGAAATTAGGACCAGATGGGAGGATTCTAAAATATAGAGATGAAATTAGCACTGTTGATGGGAGGATCCTAAAATATAGAGAGGTAATTAGCACTGTAGATGGGAGGGTTCTGAAATATAGAGAGGTAATTAGCACTGTAGATGGGAGGGTTCTGAAATATAGAGATGACATTACCACTGTAGATGGGAGGGTTCTGAAATATAGAGAGGAAATTAGCACCAGATGGGAGGACTCTGAAATATAGAGATGAAATTAGCACCAGATGAGAGGATTCTGAAATATAGAGATGAAATTAGCACTGTAGATGGGATGATTCTGAAATATAGAGATGAAATTAGCACTGTTGATGGGAGGATTCTGAAATATAGAGATGAAATTAGCACCAGATGAGAGGATTCTGAAATAAAGAGATGAAATTAGCACCGGGTGGGAGGATTCTGAAATATAGACAGGAAATGGGAGGATTCTGAAATGTAGAGAGAAATTAGGTGGCACCTGTTGGCGATAGATAACAGATCAGATGCGGTGATCAGCAAGCATTTTTTAATACCGGTACATTTTATCGCTCTAGATTCTAGAGTCTAGAAGTTGATAAATCTTTGAATTCCCGTTAGACTCGCACAAACTGACGCATTAACTTTCTACTTTTTCTCTTCAAGAAAGCTTTATAAATGAAAAGAACTAATGTGCATTTATGGGCTTAAATTTAGAACCCAGTTAGATAACTAAATGTTATTAATTTTTAAAATTAAATTTTATTCATTTGTTTTATTTTGTTATCTAAATTTGTTTTCGTTTTTTCTATATATATTAATTTTCAGAATAAAATATTTACGCTATCGTTATAGTCTCAAAGTCGGTAAATATATACAGCATAGAGCAGTGGTTCTCAACATTTCTAATGTAGCGAAACTTTAATACAGTTCCTCATGTTGTGGTGACCTCCGAGCATAAAATTCTTTCGTTGCTACTTCATAAAATGTGTTTTCCGATAGTATTAGGCAACCCTGCTTAAGGTTCGTTCGACCCCAAAAGGGATCACAATCCACAGGTTGAGAACAACTGGCATAGAGGAAGATGTGGCTAGAGATTGTGTACACTTGGAGAGAAATAGGAATTTAAGGACATGGATAACTAGGCAGAGGGAATGAGAGAATGAAAGAGAGACAGGTAGGTAGAGGGTATAGGACAGAGAGAGAGAGTATAGCCGGAGACAATAAGAGAGAGAGAAGTAGGCGGCTGGAATGAGAAAGCGAAAGATAAATATTCGGAGGCAATGAGTGAGAGAGAGAGAGAAGTAGTGAGCCTCAATACTTGAGCAACTGCTTACATCTAGTGCGCCTGAGCACTGAAGTCAACTGCTTACATTTAGTGTGTCTAATCACTAAAGTCAACTGCTTACATCGATTGTGTCTTACACTAAAGTCAACTGCTTACATCTAGTGTGCCTAAGCACCATAGTCAATTCTTGCATCTCTTGTGCCTGTACACTATAGTCAACTGTTTACATCTAGTGAGTCTGATCACTAAAGTCAACTGCTTACTTCTATTGTTCCTGTGCACTAAAGTCAAGTGCTTACATTTGGTGTGCCTGATCATTTAAGTCAACTGCTTACATCTAGTATGGCTGATCACTAAATTCAACTGCTTACATCTAGTGTGCTTGATCACTAAAGTCAACTGCTTACATCTAGTGTGCCTGATCACTAAAGTCAACTGCTTACATCTAGTGTGCCTGATCACTAAAGTCAACTGCCTACGTCTAGTGTGCCTGTAACCAAAGTCAAGTGCTTTCATTTAGTGTGCCTGAGCATTTAAGTCAAATGTTTACATCTAGTGTGCCTGATCACTTAAGTCAAGTGCTTACATCTAGTGTGTCTGAACAGAATGGCCATTTAGTAAACTTGAACACCAGGGGGTCAGATGTCGGGGCGACAACTCTGTCACAAGAGTGAGTGTAGTTCAGGTCAGATGGTCGCAGGCAGCTCAACACGGAGTTGTCAAAGGACCCGTCTCTGAAAACAAATAGTTGGTACAGATTTTGTCAAATTACCCTAGCTTACTCCCCTAGCTTACTCCCCTAGCTGACTCCCCTAGCTTACTCCCCAGCTTACTCCCCTAGCTTGCTTCCCTAGCTTACTCCCTAGCTGACTCCCCTAGCTTACTCCCCAGCTTACTGCCCTAGCCTGCTCCCCTAGCTTGCACCCCTAACTTACTCGCATAGCTTGCCCCCCCCCAAGCTTACTTGCCTAGCTTACTCCCATAGCTTAATCCGCTAGATTTCTCAACTAGCCTACTCACCTAGCTTGCCCCCCAGTCCTTGCTCCCCTAGTTTACTCCCCTAGAATACTCCTCTATCTTAATCCCCTACCTTACTCCATAGCTTACTCCCCTAGCTTACTCATCTAGCTAACTCCCATAGGATTGAACCCTAGCTTACTCTTATAGCTTACTCCCCAAGCCTACTCCCCTAGCCTGCTCCCCAAGCTTGCACCCCTAGCTTACTACCTTAGCTTATTCCCCTAGCCTTCTCCACTAGCTCACTGCCCTAACTTTCTCCCCTTCCTAACTCCTCTAGCATTTTCCCTAGCTTACAACCCTAGCTTACTCCCCTAGCCTACTCCCCTAGTTTTCTCCCCTAGCGTACTATCCTATCCTAATCCCCTAGCTTGCTTGTAAAAATGAAGGCCCAAAGCTATGTTTAATTTATTCGGCACACCTCGCTACAACAGTGGCAGGCTATTGAACTGAGATTATTGATACAATCTCGGATCTCCTTCTTTTTGTGAGCCCAGGAGAGAGGAATAACGGTAAAATGAGGGTGTTTTTTCTGGGAAATAATCTGATAATCCTATGACAATCCGTCACTTCCCTGCAATCTAATTTTACCCCACCCTGAAATGTCTATCTCTCTCTTTTAATTCCAATATATTTCCTCATTTCTCAGTTGAAATATTTTGTTCGACTTAAATTAAAAATTTAACAATCCAAAGATTGCGTGTTGATATTGAATTGTTAATTTGTTTTTAACTGTTTAAAAAGTCTCCTAATTTCAAAATAACAAGATATTAATTAAAACAACTTCCTTTTTATGCATTCACCAAAACAAAGATATCGAATAATTTTTAAATTTCTAGATCTGGTCGAATAAATAATATTTATTGACAATTGTCAACCTGTCACATGTTATACCTCACAGTTTTCAAATTATAATTTTACACTTTAAATATGTATAGATCTACTTCATGAAATGAGTGAAAAATGCTTCTCTGTCAGTTGTCCCCATTTCTGTTTAATCATACATAGAATGCTTAAGGTTAGTTGTAATCTGAAAGAAATGTTTCGTCATGCCCTCGATAGCTTTGCAACAGCTTTTTTAATGTTTCAAAGTCAAGGTAACTTAAGTAACTAAAATTTAATGTTACAATGAAAACAACGACTTACAAATTGGAAACAACGTTGGTAAAGTTGAACGGGAAAACATCGATGAGGTTGCTGTTAGCATCTGGAACCGACGAAAGAATTCCTCTCCTGACAACTTTGGAGTACTCAAAATCCTCAGCGAACAGACCCTGTTCAAACACACGTGTGTATAAACATAAGAATGAGCTGGCTGACCATAACGCCAAAAAAAAAATAATTAAAAAAATGTCAGCATTAAATTACGTTTAAATACGTTCGGATTCTCAAAAGCAATTATAGTGATTTTCTATTATTTTACGGAAATCAAATAACTTTAAATGGGCAAATCCGCTTTTATTTTAGTAAACGATTAAGTATTATTATTATACATTTAATATTAGAAACATCAAGGAACTCTTTTAAGCATTTTATCCGAATTTGAAAGTTGTGTTAAAAATTTTAATACAAATTATGATCTAAGAATGACATCGTACTCATATTTATCGGGGAAACCCAAACATTTGTAGTTTTCGTGAGTTTTTTAGGGAGTTGTTAATATTACGAGATAAATTAAAATTTATTCGATCTAAATGTGTTGTCCGTCAGTCGGAAGTTAACCATGATCACTTTTATCGTCAGATTTTTTCTGGTTCTGTCTGTGGGTGCGCAGATGGCTAATGAGGCCGATTCTGGCGCACACTTTTCTTATGCAGTAGTTTCAGGTGAATAATGGGGCATCTTCGGGAGCAGAGTCAGACCGGGACTTCCTGGCATGTCTCTTGCGCTATGCAGCCGCTATCCTGCCAACTTCATGTTACATGGAGCTCATGTGTAAAGTAGAACGCCACGATTTTCAATCCTTTGCTTTTTCCTCTCACATGTCATGGTTGATGTCGATGTTTTTCTTTAAAGTTTTTTCTGCCCGCCAGCCAAACGGGAAATTTAATAAAACCCCCCCCCCCCCCCAAAACACACACACACTTTTTACTAATATAAGAAAGGACCCTTTTCATTTGCATATAATCCTTTCGTGACCCCAAGAAGCGTGCTATAGGTGTTGGTTCACAGGTCGATGCTTAGAACTACTGCCTTGGACATGCATGAGATGATGGACATAACGAACGTAATGAATAAGACCTCACAGTTACGGATGGTTCCGTTTCGATCTATTTTCATTTTTCTGTTTAAACTTGCCTCTTCCAGTTCTGTACGTCATTGTCTTTCACGTATACCTCCTCGTTTCGATATGTCAGCAAAAAAACAAAACAAAAGCGAACTTTTTAAAAACTTAAATCGAATCTACGTATGTTGCACTGGCTGCCGGTCCGTGCTCGCATGGAAAACAAAATCGCAACTTTGTGCTACCGCTGCTTACATGACCTGGTGCCGTCTTATCTGAAAGAGCTGCTGACGAATTAGGTACCCACTAGACAACTCCACTCATCCGATAGTGGCAAACTCTCGACACCACGTGTTCGCCTTGAGACTTACAGAAAGCGCACTTTTTGGATTTGTTTGTCCAACATTTGGAACGCCCTTCCAGTCGCTCTCAGATACAGCCAGACACTGGAGTCCTTTAAAACCGATTTAAAGACACATCTATTTCCCAAACACCTCCTGGGATGATTGTCTACCATATTTTCCAGTTAATGCATATTGGCTTTGTTGCTTAGGGTTGAAATGGGTAGAAAGACTTTGCCATTGTATGCTAGTAATTAGTTTTTGTAGTGTTGCGTTTATTTTAAATGTGGTAAATTATAGATTTGTTTTTTGTTGACTTTGTACCGCGCTTCCAGCCTTTGGGGATGAAGCGTGTTTTTGAAATAAACTTTATTATTATTATTATGCAAAATTTCTGTATATATTACTGACCCACTGAACGATGGAACTCTCTACTGGTTTGAGGATCAGACTACTGGGCGTGTCGTATACGTAGTCGCCAACTTTGAACTGTGAGCGGCCGTAGTCACCCGAGAGCACTGCCAGAAAGTTCAGGAAGGACTCGCTTGCCTGTGATGGGCATTCTGCAAGATCATGGTCAAAAAGTTTTCAGACAAATAAAGCCGTACAGCCGCTAAGTTCAAATGAAAATGTCCCTAGACAACTTTCAAACATAAACACATGAAGAAAGTGTATCTGTACTCTGTTAATTTCCTTTCATTACCTTTATTTAGCAGTTATTTCAATCAATGCTACATTGTAGTTACCTGTGGTGTTTCAAATACTGCTTGTTTATTGTTAAAATATATTTTTTTCTGAATAACTGCTAGCTAATTGTTAAAATTTAATTCTTAAAATCACTGCAGGACAACAGTTAAAACATGTAATTGCTAAAATCACGGCTAGTTAAAAGCTAACATATTAAACCACAATTTATAAATAAGAATATCTATAATTAAACATTTGCATGTGACATGCACATCGTTAGAATGCATCACCCAAAAAAGACATGCACATACCATGAAATACATGTTAAAATCATGACATACACAAAATTATGACATAAATGCACACATCATAAAATACATGTGCACATCATGACATACATGCACACATCATGTATATTTCGCATTTCATCATTATTCATTGGCACAATATTCTAACTGTGTTAACTGTGTACTGGTACAAGATCTACCATACTGTAAGTTGAAGATTGTCATTATATTTTCTCTTCTTTTGTAATTATCTTAAGACTTAATAAATCTTATTAATTGTAAATAGAAACTGATTTGGGGGTCGTATCTTTAATATTGTTGACTCTATGGTATCTTCTTCTGTTAGGCACTGCTTACAACGAGCCCATAAAAATTAAAATAGGAGATTAATTTCTCATGTTAGAAGCCAGTGCGTAACAAATGTACACAAAATACCAGTATCACTAATTGAAGGTAAATAAAATACCCGTGTCACTCAATGAAGATACACAAAATACCCGTATTACTCATTGAATGTACATAAAATACCCGTATTACTCAATGAATGTACATAAAATACCCGTATTACTCATTGAATGTACATAAAATACCCGTATTACTCATTGAATGTACATAAAATACCCGTATTACTCAATGAATGTACATAAAATACCCGTATTACTCAATGAATGTACATAAAATACCCGTATTACTCAATGAATGTACATAAAATACCCGTATTACTCAATGAATGTACATAAAATACCCGTATTACTCAATGAATGTACATAAAATACCCGTATTACTCAATGAATGTACATAAAATACCCGTATTACTCAATGAATGTACATAAAATACCCGTATTACTCAATGAATGTACATAAAATACCCGTATTACTCAATGAATGTACATAAAATACCCGTATTACTCAATGAATGTACATAAAATACCCGTATTACTCAATGAATGTACATAAAATACCCGTATTACTCAATGAATGTACATAAAATACCCGTATTACTCAATGAATGTACATAAAATACCCGTATTACTCAATGAATGTACATAAAATACCCGTATTACTCAATGAATGTACATAAAATACCCGTATTACTCAATGAATGTACATAAAATACCCGTATTACTCAATGAATGTACATAAAATACCCGTATTACTCAATGAATGTACATAAAATACCCGTATTACTCAATGAATGTACATAAAATACCCGTATTACTCATTGAATGTACATAAAATACCCGTATTACTCATTGAAGGTACACAAAATACCCATAACACTCATTGAAGGTACACAAAATACCCGTATCACTCATTGAAGGTACACAAAATACCCTTATTACCCGTACCTAGTGAGTAAAATGTACGCAATTCTCTTAGAATGCATTAAAAAAATGATGGCTTTCTAGGCGTTAACTAATTTAGTTTTTTTGTGTTACAATGTAATGAAATTTAGTTTTATTGCCTACTATACGAAAAAAACCTTTGCTTAATATTTCAAATGGACGTGTGCATTCGGTTTGTCGTCATATCTTTAATTATAATGTAACATATATGGTCATTTTACCAAGTAAAATAAACTACCAATTTTTTGTTAACGTACCAGTTGTAACGCCCTGTGCATACTGATTGGCGCCACCTTGACCGTAGTCTCCGCGCCCTCTCCTGTAGGCGCCTGGCGCATACTTGTAGCCCTTAAACTGTTCGGGAGAACGAGGCAAGGCGTCGACACAGAACTGCTTGAGAATCACTGCCACAGCCACCAGGCAGACGACATCACACAATCTCTGCATTTCAGATAATTTTTGTTCCAGTTCAGTGAAACTGTGTGTAACACGTGTATGGAAAAGCTCTGTCAAATCAAAACCAATGACTTTAATGGTTACGCTATGTTAAAACTAAATGTAACAAATACATTTTACATTGTACATTAAAGAAAATCTTACACGTTTTTATCATTAAGTAATAGCTGCAATATGTTTAACTTGTCACATTAGCAATAAAGAAGTTGTGTCAAATGTGCACCGTCTCGCAATGCACAAAATCTAAATTTATAGGTACGCGAGAATACGAGAGGCTGTGCAAAATACAAAAGAGTTACAGGAGATACAAAAGAGTCACCAGGAGAAAAGAGAAGGGCTGAAGCAATGTGCGACAGAGAGTGAGAGATTGGAGCAGTAATTTATTTCAGAGTTGACGTACATACTAATAGTGAATGAATAAGGACTGACCTTATATTTTCTGGAGCTACATAGCAAATTACATTACTGATCCAAGGAGTATCTATTATATATATATATATATATATGTATATATGTATATATATATTGTTTCATTTGAATACAGTGCATAGAGTGTGTACACTTTCATTTTACATTTCATTGTAAAGAAGTGTAAGCAACAGCTGACTGACCGGTCTAGACTAGAGAGCTGTCATCAGTGTGGTTCTTGTAAAGAAGTGTAAGCAACAGCTGATTTAACTATTTAAATTAATATAGCTATAATCACTGTGAGTCACACATACACAGATAATGAACAGTTTCACAAATATAATCCAAATTGAATGCATTTTCTTTTCATTCCTACTCTGTAAATGTAATATACGGAGTCGGAAAAACCTGAAGGATTAGAAACGTGAGTTATCTTTTAGGTTTTCCCCTATTCAGGTCGTGAAGTGGAGGGGCGGAGCTAGGCTCAAGCTGTGAATAGTGACATGACGTGCATACCATGTGGTGAGACTTATTGTTAAGGCTACAACAGTCAAGAGTAACTGCCAACATATACAGATAGATTTTTTTTTGGTTTCCTTACAAAACGGGCAATCAACATAAAATTCGGCAGCAAAATCTTCAAGAAGAGAAATTTTGAAGAAGGGCTACCATAAGGGTCAGCCCTAGTTGCACTCTCTACCTAGTCTGTATCAATGACTTGCCACTAAATCTAGCTACCAATGCTGCGACTTCTGTTGACGATTTGGTTATCTGGAACGCCGCTAAAGATGTCAAACGCCTGCAACAGCTACAAGAGCAGGAACGTTCCTCTTTCAACAGGTTCATGCGGTGGCGGCGGCATATGGAAATGAACACAGAGAAGACGGTCTATATACTTTTTTACCAATGGGCGGACCATTCTCAAACAGGGGATCGAGCTCAAGGGGTTTGATGTAGTGCTTCAAATAGTGCAAGCAATCGGTTTACCTGGGGGTCCAAATTGAATCAAAAGGAGCAAATGCATAGTTGTGTAAAAGACCTCTGCTCCCAGGCAGCCGCCAAAGCTCAATCTGATAAAAACATTGACTTGCACAAATTGGAGCGTGGGAGCCAGAACACTTAGAGTTCTATTTTTTGGCAGTCTTAGGTCGGTGATGGATTACAGCATGCCAGTTCAGTCCTTTGCAAGCAAGACCGCATTGGAAAAGTTGGGCCGAATCCAGAATCAGACTTTGAGATTCATCTCTGGCGCATTCACAAAGCACACCCACAGCTGCTGTACAAGTCTTGGCCAATGTTGAGCCACTAGATCAGGTGTCACCAATCCACGGCACGCGGGCCGGATCTGGCCGACGACAACAATACATCAGGCGCGCCGATGGTACTTGAATTTGCATCATTAAAAAAAAACAAAAAACACATGGAACACGAGACGTTGTGATACAATTTATTTTTTTTTAAAAAGTAATAGGTGGTCTTAACACGTGTGGAGACCTCCTGGCTGCGATGCGTGTTACATTTACCATTTTCAAGTTTAAATTGTTGTATCAAGATTTTCGTTTTAATGTTTGTAGCCAATGACTAACTGTGTCCTGAGAAAGCTGATTTGTTTGGAACTGTCAGCTGATAATATTTGCAGCCAATGACTAACTGTGTCCTGAGAAAGCTGATTTGTTTGGAACTATCAGCCTGTCAGCACTAGCCAATGACTAACTGTGTCCTGAGAAAGCTGATTTGTTTGGAACTGTCAGCTGATAATATTTGCAGCCAATGACTAACTGTGTCCTGAGAAAGCTGATTTGTTTGGAACTATCAGCCTGTCAGCACGTTCAGTTGTGCGGAGAACAGACTTGAGAGAGAACACTGGGCTACAAATCTGTGTGTAAGCTGGGAACGTGTAGTATTCTTTTTTGCTGGATGAGTTTTCTCAAGTACGTCACAACTTCTTGTGTTCATTCCCTGTGTCAATAACGGAAGAGTTCACATCCGTTTGCGGAATGCGTGGAACAACAACTGGAAAAGACATTTTCATGGACGTGGGAACAACTTTGCAAGTTTATAACCTTCAGTGGAATCAGCTGAGAGGTGTTCAAGTTGATTTAGGAAAAATACAGCTAGAGTGAGGCAAGGTCCGGTGGCGCAGATCAGGACTCAGTTGGAAGATTTGCATATTCCGGTACTCTGCATACACTGCATCTTTCATCAACAAGATCTCTGTGGGACATACTTAGATATTTCTTGAGTGCTGAAACAAGTCGTTTTTGCTGTGAAATTCATTTGGAGACATGCACTTTGCATATTCCGGTACTCTGCATACACTGCATCTTTCATCAACAAGATCTCTGTGGGACATACTTAGATATTTCTTGAGTGCTGAAACAAGTCGTTTTTGCTGTGAAATTCATTTGGAGACATGCACTTAATCACCATCAGTTACCGGCTTTTCTTGAAGAGATTGATTCTGAATTTTTTGACCTGCCTAATCACACAGTAGTGATATCTTGCAAGCTAAATGTCAAAACTATAAAAAAAAAATCTTTACAGACGGTTTTTGTTGTTTAGATTGTCAGATTCGGATATGTAGGTTTTTAAGTATTTTTTGGTACTAATTTCGCCTTCCTTGATAACTTTTTTAGTAAATAAATATGTTTTTTATCTTTGTATTTTTGTTTACATTGCACGCCACTCAGCTATGATTAACATGGAAATTTTAACTTAGTTCTTCGCTTTTACCCAGAGCTTTCGTTCTGGCTTGCAAGTATTGTACAGAATGATTATACGGCCCGCGCTTTTCATTTTGTCGGTTATCCCGCCCACTGTGAACAAGTCTTGGTGACCCTTGCTCTAGTTATATTGAGGGAAAAATGCAATTTTTGAGAGGTACAGACGGAAGAAGAAAAAGGTACAGTCATTCTAAATGCATTCTCGCTGGGTAGCGGGTAAGCGACTGAAGAGATACTTATTTATTCATCAAGTAGCAAAGCTTGAGCGGACAGTCGACCTACTAGGCAATAGAGAAAGAATGACTCTTATCCCAGCCAATATGCCGTATGTGGAACCCTCACATCTCTTTATGCATTTGGCCATGAACGATACAGCAGTGACGAAACGCAGCTCTGAACATGTCCAGAAAGTGGCTGCCCTAGTGACCATGGCAATGTATTAGAATCCACGGACGGCTCTGCCAATTTTAGAGAAAAAACTGCTGGGTACGGTGCTCTCATAGTGTACCCAGCAAGGGGGTGGGGGTACACCAAATCAGGAGCTCTCGGTAGCCTGTTCGAATGCAGCATCAAATTTTGATGTTAAACTAGAAACTTTTCACAGAGCCCCGGACAGTGTATTTCACACATTGAAAGAAAGGTAGCTTGCGGGGCTCAATGGGATTGTCTACTCAGACTCAAGATCTGCACTCAAGATCTGCACTCAAGATCTGCACTCAAGATCTGCACTCAAGATCTGCACTCAAGATCTGCACTCAAGATCTTGGGAAAGAGAGCAGGTACCACACATTTAGTTGGTGCCAACATAGCTGACGTGTGCAAGATCGGGGAATTAGGAGAACGGTGGCAGTGCAATGGATCCCAGGGTATGAGACCGTCAGTGGCAATGAAAAAGCCGACTCTCTGGCGCAAACAAGACTGCCAGGCTGTCCTCAAGTACCAGTAACAAATTGTGGAATCAAGAACTGGCTGGCAGACCATTTCAGACAAAATGGCACATGGAATGGGCAGACAACACGCCCACCAGGTGTGTCTTCGCAAACTTGCAGTACACTCCTAACAGACAAGACCCATGGTGGGGGTTAGATCACAGATTCCCACAGAACACTGCCCCATCGGCAAGATAACAATATTTGTAGGCTAGATAACAAAAGGGACCCTACCTCTCAGCATTGCAGCCTGGTCCCGGAGACACTAACGTGCGTTTTGAACGAATACCCCTAAGTAGATGTTCCGGAAGAAGTCAGGCCTGTGGGAGAGTCCTGCGTGAGGACTGTATATGGCTCAGCACAGCACATGGAGATGGTTAGTTATGTAGTAGCGGTGTTATAAAGAGAGTAATCTCAGCCACTAACAAGAATATGTGTGTTAGTTTTTTGCTCGGTCTGTAGGTGCATTCGACTCAGTCTTTTGTACGTACAATCGACGTCCTCAGACGGTAGTTGCAATCTTGTTAAAAAAATTAGCAGATATATTTTTGTCAATATTTTCCCATAATGTTGTAAAATCAACATAATATATGTTGTAAACTAAACCTATGCTCAGCTACGTTTAACCGTTCTTCGTAACATACATGAGTATAGTCTTGTGTATTATGAAGTCCAAGCTACTTACATGGGACGTCGGTTCACTGCCGGATGTAACGGTCCAAGCTGATCATCCGGGTCTTATATCTCAACCTTCAGGTCACGGCAACCCCAGCCTAGGGCTAGGCTCACTGCGCTGTACATAAAAATATTATCAAAAGAGACAATCATAATAATGACATTAAAATAAAATACAATTATGAAATAAAGAACAGCATGAACCCCAGGACATTTACAAGGAAAACCATGGACGACAGCCAACAAGATCATTTATCGGTCAGAGGAGGGGAATCAGTCACAGTAGTATAGTTTAAATAGATGTGTTTTGAGTGC